AAATGTAAAGGCCTGATGAGAATTATCGAAAACAAACGTATGTTCACCATTTAATTTTCTGAAATTTTCAATGGTAATTTTTCGCAAATATGTTCTCGGTACCAATACTACCAGCAAGGCATAGACCCCACAATATAGGAAGAAATCGTTGGTTGTGATGCAAAAGTAAACTTCATGACAGCTGAAATTGATGCTGGCTCCCAGTTTCTGTACACGTTGTTATGGCAGGGTTTGCAAACATGGAGTCTTTGTACATGTACACAATTATGCCAAGCGAAATAGGCGCCTCACTATGTTTCACTCTTTTTGTGCAGTATTTTTTTGAGATTGCATTGTTTTTTTTATGCCACTAGCTCTTTAAAGGCCCGTTTCTGAACACCAGTCCAGTTGCGCTGTTAGAAAACTTGGAATGTCCCAACACTGTAATTAGAAGGCAAACTAGATGGCAGCAGAAATCCTCCCGTTCGATGAGTTTGGTATTTTCGAAAGAGATAAGAATCACGACAGCTGCCTATATCTGGGTTCCCCACAGTTCACAGTTTCCCACTAAGCCTGATGAACTCCAGCTTTTTATTTTCAGTCGAACACTGCGCCTTCCTAGGAGAATCAGTCACTAATGGGAACGCGCGTTCTACCTCTGCCTCCAGTGACAGTATCGCTAACCTAAGCGTCAGGTACTAGCCAACACTAGCGATGGCAAGGCAGCAATTGAAAGCTTTGAAGTGGACGATCATGCAATAAGACGCTATGTGATGAGTTTAGGTGGTTGAGAATGTTAATAGGAATGCGATTTTCTAGCCTGTCAAGTCTGTAAACATTATTTTCCTTTTTGCATTCATGGCCCTCAGCTATTGACATCTTTGTTTATGGGTAAAAGTGTAATTGCGAATTCCTTCCTAGTGCATCGCTCATTCTCTCCGTGTAGACGCTAAAATGGCTGACCTAAATTACGCGAATGTTGAGGGCCTATCACTAGGTGAGACAGTGACTTGTCCCGATTCCGCCACGATTTTCATGTCGGACGACGCCGGATGGAACGGGTTCACCCTACGGGACAAGCGCAGTGCTCTAATGCCCAAACAGGTGCAGGTGGGTGCTCACCTTATAGGATGTGAGTTACGTTCGGCAAGCGAATGGACAAGGAAGGTGTACAAACTACCTATCATTGGTAGGTCCACCTGTGACGAATGCATTTAACTGTTTATGAAGTCTAAAGTAATTCGATTTTGCCCAGCCTGACCAACAGCCACAGTAGAGGCTTTCTGATTCCCGTTGGAAAGTTTCTTCCTATAAGACCTGATAATCTGAACAAGGTCATTAAATTAGTTTGTCCCCTAAGCTCATGCGCTTTTAAAGCTTTGTCATGTCATATGTTTCGTGATATATTCACATTCTATATGCGATGTTGTTCCCCTCCCGAAGTATTTTTTGCATTTCTTACAAGTTTGTATTTGAATAACCTCTCAGTTCTTTACATTTGAGCGAAAGTGGTACGCTAGATCCACAAACATAAATATGTTCAGCAGCCGTAATTTTTATTCTAGTTAGTAAAGGAGCAAATGCCACGACAACCGCTAGAGAAATCGACACTGTATCGACAAGGACGAAGATGTGTGGAACACAGGGTCAATTGGTTTATTGTTCTGAGCTTTTGGGTTCTTATAGGAGTCCATCTTTAGAGATCAGAAGTAGCAATTAAAAGGAGGGTAATAATAGCGGCCATAGGCCAAGTTATTGTCAGAATGCAACGGAGTGTCAAGAGATTGGAAACAGGAACCAAGAAGGACGGGCGAAAATTATAGTGGTATACGTTAATTAGCTGTCAGTGGGGTTCGGGGTCGTGAGCAGCAACTAGTGTGGCGCCTTGGCCCCACGATAGAGGGTCTTAGTAACGCTGCCTCTTCTTCCGGCCAGTGTGTCATGGGCTCCCCTTCACTTAACATTCTAACGTTCGTTTTGGCCTTGTTCTTTCTTTTACCCACATAATGGCGCAAGACTTTGCAGGCCGCCGCCGGCACGTCCAGATGCCTATTGACAGAGTTGGCATCAGAGTAGCATGCCTCGAGCGTCAGACTTTCGGCTTTTGATTGGCTTATAGCCACTATAATTACGCTCCTTTTGGTTGCTACTTCTCACTTCTGAAGATGGACTCTTATAATAGTTATAAAACCCAGGACAATAAACCAATGGATCCAGTGCTCAACACTTCTCCTTCCGTGTTTATGTGACTGTCTGGAACGCGAACTTTCTCATTCAGTCGCAAATTTCACTGTCTCCGGAGGGGCTTCATTTGCTCAAATAGAAGCTTGGAAATGGTTTATCCCTTTAAAAAAACGATTTCGGTATGATAGACGATCGCGCTCTGGCTTCGATAAGGGTAGTCACAATCTTAATTAACACAGGTTCCCGTAAAACCATTCGAGGAAAAGTCAGTGATTTAGAGCGCGATTAGTCAACAGTAGCTTATATGCTGCAACCCCAACAGAACATCAAAGAATCTTGCTTCCTGGGTTCTGTGCGTCACTAGTGTGGAAAACAAGAATCAATGTTTCTGTCTTATTACTGGTCCGAAATCGTTGCGCCCTTCAATAACGTAAACCAATTCTGAAGCCTCCTAGTTCTGTCAGTGTTAAATGCGCAATCGCAGGGTGACTGGCAGAAAAACTGAAACCGATTCAGCACCAAATAGCACCGCACAACCTACGGGAGACATTTAAATTCGTAGAGTCCATTAGAAAGACAAATGACCATGGGAAGCGATGTTATCCTGAGATGTCGTGTCTATTTTCACTAACATTCCCCTCACAGAAACCATATAGTTTTTGTGTAAAAATTTGGTAAACGGGATTTTCCAACTGACATGCCGAACAGAGACCTCAAGGAATTATTTTTCCGCTGCACTTTTACCATGCAACTCAGCTTTAATGGCCAATTTTACCGCTAAGTCGGTTGTATAGAGATGGGATGTTTGCTTGAACCTATATTAGCTGATGCCTTCACGGGCAAACTGGAGAGCAATCAACAATTCCCATTGATAAGTTATCTCCCTTCCTATGCTAGATACGTGGATGATATATTTGTAAAAGCAGATGGAAGACTTGATTTGGACACTTTCTTAGATAAAGTGAATTAAGTGCACGCAGCGTTAACTTTCACTTTAAAATAAGAGGATAAACAAGTGCTTACCCTTTCTGGACGTCCTCCTTAGTAGAAGGTTTGATGCAACAATAAGTAGAAGTGGATTTTGCAGGATAATCTGCACAGGAAAATGCACAAACTTCTTTCGTTATGATTAACTCAGTAAGTGCAATGGCTGCAGATACTGCGGTGCCTTTGATAAATTATCGTTGGGCCAGTAGATTTATATAAGAACTGGGTAAAAGTAGGATCGATTAGAGGAGACTGGTTTTTAAGTGCAGGATACCGTTCAGCAGTCCAGGGAAGGGGGTCGGGGAGAGGGGAGGGAGGCAAACAGAGCGTGGACGAGTGCATGCAGCTAAGTGACTGTGAGCCACGCCAGATCCTTTTATGCATACAATCTCGGCTCCATGAGCCTGATAGCGGTCGCTCCGGCTGTTGCTAGCAGGCGCTGACCCAGATACTCTGGATAGTTTGGTGGGACCCTGTAGATCACACGACAGGCTGTGTTGGGGTCCATCCGATGTCAGGAATCAACCATGTGCGCCAAAATAGAGCTATTTATGCTCCTGACTTTCTCAACCATGTTGAGACGTGATCCCTTCGGACAAAGGAACAACCTACATCGTTACTACCTATTCGAATGCGAAGTACGCAATTGATAATGTCTGCCAAAAGAATAGCTTCTATTTCGGAACACACTTCCCTCCGTCCCCCTAACGAGATCTATAAGAAGTCTTGATGAATGGAACTGCAGTTTGTTAAACAAAAAAGTGCATGGTCTTCCTGCATTTCGTTTTCCTGTTGACGCTTGTCACCAACTTGATGAACCTGTTCTCCCATAGATCTAGCGAAGTCTGGCTTGGCAATCAATAAAATGTTGAGTGAATTGTTCAGATGAACTGTCCAGCAGTAGTAATTTTACGGCATGACCACAACGCGCAATCCGCAAGAAACCGGCATGCTCGTTAGGACTTTAAACTACGTCGATAATCTTCTTCGTTTTTCACTGTGTCCACTTTCGTTATGCATTACTCGGTAATAGTAATGGATGAGGATAGCCTGATACCTTTCGTTTCATCTGAGTTACTGGCGGCATGGAAATTTAGAAAGCAAATTACGTTGCTATTGTCCTTTTTAATAATGTTTTATTTTTTGGTCTGCCGCTCTTCTACGCAGTTCCAAAACCTGAACTGCATCTTTCTACTGACAAAGTTATACTCAGTGAAGAGTTCCGTTGCTATGGTATCGGATTCAATTCTCGTCACTACCGATATAAAGTGCGGAACATGAAGAATTATACCTACGGCAAGTTCTGCCCCGCTTCCAACCAAAGGGACGGAATTATGAAGTTCGATCCCATATGTCAACCTGGAGTGCAACAAATTGAGTGTTCCATCTACGGTGATGCACAGTACGGCATACCTGAGACATCACAAGTTCTAGAGATTAATCTGATTGGTAAGTTTCAGTGGGTGTGGCATATCTGGGTGTTACTCCTATACTCAAATCCAATTTTAAACGCTAACTTGCTATCTACGGCCCAGCCCGCTTATGCTACTAGTGTTCACAAATCAGGCTTGATTTTGAGGCGAAACTTAAGCGTGTCAGTGGCAGTCTATCTACAGCCATCAGCACAAAATTGATAGCAAAAAATTAACGAAGCATTATTACCCTAGTAGCAAAGTGGAAACAATCTGTTATCATTTGGGCATAAATCCGCCATATATGTCCGGATTTTTCCAGCAGGATTATATGCTGGAATCCGCTGGGATTTGCTACTGGGGGGGGGCGTGGATCACTTAGACTCCTAACATCTGGAATTGTCCTTGATTACGGTTGTTCGTCCTTCATCTGCTGGGTCAATAATAATTTCATCGTCACTCTTGCATTCCCGAATGACTCTTACCGTCGTCAGAAGAAAGTAAATGCAGTGAGAAATTTGGATTGTCACACTAGACCTGTTGGCGCGACAAGACAGATGAACAATTTACTTATGGGAGGGTGAACCATGTTAGGTTCGTGAGTGAAGTCGAAGAAAAACAAAATTACAGCCGCCTATGCTAGAGTGGCCTAGTAGCGAATCCAAGCGAATTCACTCATGGAATTCTACTGAAAAAATCCGGAAACATAGGTCAGATGTATGCCGGATTTTGTCCAATTGATTTACACTTGCTACATGGGTTATCCTCAAGGGTTAGTTTTTTTCTTATTTACACTGCCAGCTGTGTTCCTGTAGTTTAGTGGAATTAAATATTAGAATTGAGAAGATTCGGCTGTCTTTGCCACACAAAATGTTAGTCACAGAAATACTTCGCCATTTTGACCGCTGCTAAATTGACATTTGACAAGGACACTTTGCAAGCGTAGGTAAGACTACTAAGCTGATTCTTAGTTCAAAGCCTTTGGTGCACACACTGTGAACTGCAATTCGCAGGATATGCGAATTAACTGATCCTGTGAAAATTTTCTTCGGTTACCTCTGCTGCCTTGCCGGTCAGCTGCCACCCGGTTTGGTAAGACCGCTGCGAATGAGGATGTTTTAAATGGCATGGTGTGGCTTTCTCATCTGGTGAACATCATGGCGGCTCGCATTTGGTCCAGTTTATCACGTTCGGTCACCACCACCACCACTCTCCTGTCCAAGTATGCGGTAAAATATATATATTTTGATACCTGACAAGTCCGGTTCAGGTTGGCGTGTTGATCAACCAAATCGCATTCTGAAGGCCGTGAGAAGTTTGGATGGAGAGAAAAGTGTACATTTGTATGTGCTACTTTCTATTGTATAGTAACATATCTTATGTTATATATTTTATGCATGCTCTTTTCAATAGGGCCTTCAAGGGATTGCTTACTATCTTTAATATACTCAAAAATGTTTGTGTTGTAGCGACGGCGATGGATTGTTAAGATGAATCAACTTGTTCAGAAGAATGCCTAATATATGCCGACCATTAATAAGGCAACTTAAATGAGCAATGACGGGACAAGGAGTCTAGGTTACCACACAAATAACTGTATAATCTGACGTGATTGACGTTCAAACTTGGTTGCGTAATTTTATGATCCTTGCTGAAAACTGATCCTTTCCCGGTGATTTGACTATATGGTGATTCGAACATCCTTTGCTGTCATACAGTATGAAATGCAAATTTCTCTTTCATAGCATCAAATCAAAAGAAGTTACAGGTTATTTATAACGCCTGCCTGCAGTACTGGAAAACATGCTGACTCATGTGGTGTAAAGTAGTTTTCGAAATTTGCCAAATTACCTGCTCCTCACATTCTTTCCTATAATAATTATTTGCCAAATGAAGAAACGTGGATGTTTAAGTGGGTGGTATTTAATGGTATTTACCGACCAACGGAGAGCACACTCACGAAGATCTTTTCTGTCTGGTTGGGCGTCATCAGGTGGTGGAAGCTCAACTCCAGTGTAGCAGCGGAAATT